GTTTGAAGTTTATAAGATAACTATTATTGAATAATATTAAAATATAAATAAAATACCTAATCATAAAATAAAATATGCAAAATATTTTAAACATGTTTTTAGAGTTTTTTATGAGCACTAGAAAATAATACTCCACTCTACCAGACTACTATTAGAATTAGGAGTAGAATCATAATAGTTTTAATTTAATTTAAAGATTTTAAGAAGGATGCACATATCCAAAGAAGTGACTAAATTATACATCATATTTTTTCTAATTGATGTCTACTCGATAAAAATATTGCCAATGAATAAAATGCAAATGTAATGTATAATTACAGGCTCCAAATTTATTATGCCAACTCAATTAAAAAAAAAAACTTTTTATGATTCAATGTTTCTGTAAATACTACGAGCGTCTCACGCCAGCATGTCATTTTGGCATCCGGTGCGCGCGCATCACGTCGGCCTCTGGCATTGTTATCATATTATTTATTTCATGTTATACTTGGGGAGTACTACTTTTGTTCCACAAAACAATTTTCTTAACCCTGTGACCCACTTGGGGAGGTGTTGCACAGCAAGTCGGGGGATATTTTCGATTTGCGGAGCGGAGCGACGGCGCCGAGGAGCGTAGCGACGAGTGCCGCTAGCACCGCATCACTGTACGATGTTTTTTTCAAATTGGTGGCTCGGTGCAACAAAAATGCAATTTACTCAACCCTGTGACCCACTTGGGGAGGTGTTGCACAGCAAGTCGGGGGATATTTTCGATTTGCGGAGCGGTTAGGAACACTTGGAAAAAATGAGGTTTCTGAATTCTTCCTAAATTCTAACACATAATTGTTTTTTATAACTAAATTTCTTACTGTGTATATGATATTGTCAATCAAATAAATAGTGAATAAAATACAAATGAATGAATGCATGTAAAACAATTCTAAACTTATTAAACTACCTATTTAGATTAGTGTGATAACATGAAATAAATAATATGATAACAATGCCAGAGGCCGACGTGATGCGCGCGCACCGGATGCCAAAATGACATGCTGGCGTGAGACGCTCGTTAAATACTGACTTCAATTTTAAAAAATATTAGCATTTTAATTCTGAACAAAAACAAGTATTACACTTAAGTTATATTTACACGATGATAGTAAAGTACTAAAGTTGCTCTCGCGATAGTCGTTATTATTTTAAGAATGATAACAATGTGAATATTCAATATGATAATTGATAATATCGATACTGACAGACATGACGTTATACACGTTTTGTGTCTGTGATATTGCTTGAATATGGAAACAACGTAATACTATGCCGCATTGCCGTATAGTGCCTATGTATTTTATATTTTATAAATAATAATTTAAGATTTCCTGACATTTTGTGGGGGGGGGCTACAGCCCCCTCAGCCCCCCCCCCTGGATACGCCACTGACTATAGGTAGGTACTTCGACAACCCTTCGAAATGGTTTTCGAATGATATATACCTAAGTGACGTTTTAAGAGCTTGCATTATTTTTCTTATATAAATTATAATGACAGCAATCACTGGAGCAGAAAAATCATTTTCCTAACTAAAACTAATAAAAAATTACTTAAGAAACGCATGTGGACGAGTGCGTTCATCTAGTATAGCAACTTCAAATATAAAAAAAGAACGAACTAAAAATCTAAATATTGAGAAAATTATTGACAATTTTGCTTTATAAATTATATTTCTTATAATAGAATATCTTAGATATTTATCTAATAATGATGTTAAATAAATTATTAATTATTTAGGATTACTCTTAAATATCATATTACCTAATATACCTATATGTTAAAATATGGTTATAAATTTATAATGCAATTCGATTTGTAGTAAAAATATAATGGTATAATACTGTGAATTGTTTTTCAAGGGAGCCCCTAAGTTTTCTTTTGCACCAGGGCCCTCAGAGTTCAAGATTCGGCCCTGGAATTGTCTGTATATTTACTTTGTATATCAATATTAACCTAGAAGATATATCATAAGCAGTAAATTAAAAATGCAATAATGATCCCTTAAATACTACATTCTAAAATCATAATATCAATGTTTTATGTTTCTATAAAATTGTGCTTAGTTATTAATAACTCAATTTTAGAAATATTTTGAGAAGACCAGCTGTTATAAGAATTAGAAGTATTATGAATTATTAAGGGCCTATTAATGTATATTTATTATGTATTTAATATTATTCTAAGATTTTTATTTTTGAATCTGAGTGTATAAAACTCTAATGTGTACACGGCTCATAGCATCATATAAGTTATTGCAGCACAGCTATTCTATGAATATTATTTCTAAGGCAGTCACTATAATGTAGGCTTCACAGTTCTACAATTCTATAATCTATTGATGAAAATATTGTTATTTGTACGTCGTATGTTGTGGTCTCCTTACAATCCTTATAATTATTATTAGCTCCTAGAATCACTATTTAATAATATGAATATTTTTATTTTTATTTAATTTCTGTGTTAAAGAGAGCTGTCTCTTAGGGCCTACAAGTTTCTAGGTATGCCACTCCTTCTTAGTTACATTTTATTTACTAACCAGCCATAGGTACCATTATACTTCAATTTTTTCTCCAAGAAATTCCACATCTTAAAATTACTAATAAATTACTCATTATTATGTACAATACATTATTAATTGTTATAAATTACCAAATAAATCCATAATTTTTATCCACATTGTGTCATTGTTCAAATGGAGTTGAAATGTTTTGAATACAATTTACCTTTTGGGGAATTCAAGGCATCATTACCAAAATGTATTTCCTATAATAAGTCACAGTAGAAATGTATTTATTTAATTGGTATTTTATTAGGTAACTACTTTAACTTATGTCTTATATTACCTTGATTTTAGAATGAAAAGTTCTAACAAATTACACTGGCTATAGAATACTAAAAAACTGTCATTGCAAAGCCATTTTTGATTATATCACAAACAATATCCCACCAACATATTTTGACAACTTTTGTTTAAAACATTATTCTTTGTAAAGTAACCTCATTAGTATTATTGAAATACTGTTTTTTGATATTATGTCATCGTTATACCAGCAATGTTTTGAATAATATGAACTTGTTCAATATTTTAGTGTAAATTAGTATATCTAAAAATTTTAAAGTGAAACATTTAGTTTAAACATGTGTAGGTAGTAAATTTTTTTTCAATTTTACTTAGGTATACAAGATGTGTATACTGATTCTAAATTCCATTCTAGAAGCAAATGCATCGACTGTTAATTGTAATGAAATTCTGGAAGTCTTCTAGGTATTCCATTCTATGTAGTTGTTTTGTTTTGAGATGAATTATTGCCAGTGGTGTATTGGTAAATATATTTATGGGTATACGCACTAATAAAATATGTATGTAACCTAAAAATTTTTTTTTTCGCTCCGCTCGAAAAACATTCATTAATCAATAATACGTTTAGAACTTCTAATTAATAATACGTTCAGATTATATTTCCTGAAATAAGTAATAACGTTATTGCAATTCAATAAGTAGGTAAGTACATAGCTTTTAACATTATTATTTATTAATTTTTTAATAATATAACAATAGAAAATGAAACAAAATCAACTTGAATGTCAAAAAATAAAATAAAAAGTGGGTAAGTGGATGTTGCTCTGCCGTACAGTAGGTTACAAGTGGGTCAATGTATAATGTAGTATATTAAACTTGAATTCAATGATATAATATAATTGTATGAGAAAAACGATTCCGAGCGGAGACGGTTTGTCAGTCTGGATATTTTATAATATCTTTATATTGTTATTACTTATTAGTTATTATTATAATACGGTAAGTTGAATTAATATTATAAAATTACAAAAAAATAACTAAAACCGTTATTCTTGGTTATTTAATGTGTAATTTCCTCCAATTTTTAATAGAAAATAACTAAAAAAAAAAACCGTGATTTATATTTTTGAGATTTTTTGGTTACAGAAGAACCTACTTACGCGGAACCTTGTTGTAAGTTTTCAATCCTTAGCTCTAAAAGTTGAACATTTTATAAATTTTCAACTACAAAATCATTCATAAATTTTTTTTGGCAATATGCAATTTCGTTGCCGCCACTCGTGTCATTTATGTCAGTCGTCAATGACAATACTTTCAACTTTGGGTTTTATTTTTACACAATCAGATAAGTTCTTCTAATTTAAATTCTTGAGATTTAAATATTTTCATCCATAAAGAAATAACTTATAAGTAATAACAATATAAATGCTTTTTTAAGACTTTGGAAATGGTTTGCCAATGCATGACTTCAGTAAATGAAGATAGAAAAAGCCACCTAAAGAATACTGATAATATCCTTACCTTTAAAACATTCGATAATAAATACTGTAATAATACAACTAAAAACACAAAATTAATTCCGCTGAAGTCCAAATATTATGTTCTATGTTGAACATGCATTATATAATATTATACAATATATGCGAGCTTCATGTCATAATAAGTATAATGTTTTGAGTCTCTACAAATTTTTTTGTACCACTGCCGATTGATATGTGCAGTGATGTTCGAGTTCTTTATATTAATATACATTATTGTAAAAATATCTAAGCATACATCTATATAATATATTCGACGGCTGAAATTAAATCAACGAGTATTTTGTTATACTAGACCAACATAGAAACCGGAAATAAACAATGTATATATACGCAGTACATATTCTAAATTGGAACGATATAAAACAAAAATCCACTTGGTATATTAAGTATTCACTCTACACTCTTTCAACTATTCAACTGATTTTCAAAGTTTTTTCTATAATTTATTGTACAACTTCATTATGTTGTATCGTGCCATGTGATGTAAGCTGGGACGCATTATTTCGCAGTGGCATTTTGCTACTTCACTCAAAATTCAAATTGTTCCGATTGATCGGAAAAATAAAAATAAGCGGATATTTCGTTAAAAAATCCAGACGAGCAATAAATTTTTGGCTTGGTTTGGTATGTCGGCTGATAATTCGTCTCCTACCGTAATGTCTGGATGTGACGCGATGACTGGAGTCTGCAATGCCTCGACGAATTATGCAACTCCAAATAGGTTGTTACCAGTCTGTAAAGAAAACGTGTGGAAGATAAACGAACAGATGAAAATACTGGAGATAACTGGAGATTTGGAACTGTGTCCGTGTTTGAGGACGAGCGATTTCCGAAAGATGACTAAAATGATGTGCCACGAGTATTTTGTGGACGATTTCGAAGTAGAAATGACCGAACCGGTTGATTCCATGGACCTCCTTGTCATAGGCGCACATAGGGGGGTGCTTGGATTTTCTTCAACAGTATCTTTTGTGATAGGAAAGTGAATCTTGTTGGTACTTTGGGGGGTCAAAAGCAAAAATTTCACAGTAGTTTTCAAAAGCGCCGTGAAAAACAAAAGAAAAATTAAGGAAAAACGGGAATTTTTACGCAAAATCTGTTTTCGAGAAAATTGATTTTGGTCTTTGGTGTAACTTTTGTTGAAAGTGAAGCTTGACGGACTAATGATGTTAGCATTAATATAATAAGTAATAACACGACAATATGGTTATGTATAAGTATAATATATAATAACGTACAACTGGACAATTAAACTGTGACAGTACACACACATCGTATACGCTCTGTACAACGACGCCTGTGCAAGTCCGTATTACATACATCAAAGGCCCTATATATATGCACGACCGAGGTCATGTTACATCCGTAAAGAGAGTGAGTCTTATGCTCGTACATAACTAGTTACTATATTGAACACACGTGTCAAGGCTGACTACATATACTACATATTAATTGTATATTTCAACACCCTCCCTCAATTAATAATCTCTTTAATTGTAGTCACTCCTATGGCTGACCGCAACTTCTCGAATCGTTCCTTAACCAAAGGCTTGGTTAGAATGTCCGCAATCTGGTCCTCTGTTCCAATGTACTGTAGTTGGAATTGTCCCTCTTCGTATTTCTCCCGTATGAAGTGGTACCGTACGTCTATGTGTTTTGTCCGTTTATGAAACTCCGGATTTTTCACTAAACGAATAGCACTCTGATTATCTATAAATAAAACTGGTTGTTTGTCACCTGTTGTTGATACGCTTGTTATCAACCGTGTAATCCACAAGATCCCCTTGACAGCTTCACTGGCCGAAATATATTCAGCCTCTGTCGATGACAGTGACACACAATGTTGTCTCTGCGATGTCCATGAAATTATGCTTGACCCGTACCTGAATAGAAATCCTGACGTTGAACGTCGTGTCTGAATGTCACCTGCATAATCTGCATCGCTAAATATTTCTAATGACAATTTTGTTTTGTTATTAAAGTACAAGCCATAATTAAATGTTCGCTTGATATATCGTATAATCCGTTTTACCAAGTTCCAATGAGCTTTAGTTGGTTTTGCTAAGTAACGACTAGCAAAGTTTACTGCATATGCTATATCTGGTCTTGTTACCTGTGATAAAAACAGTAAGCTACCTACTGCCTGCCTATAAGGAATATCTTCATTCAATACTTCCGTATCTTCTTTTTGTTCAAGTGTATGTGATTTGTCTATTGGTATTGAAAGTTCCTTAGCGTCCAGCATATTAAATTTATTAATTATGCTACATGCATAATTTGTCTGATGCACAAATAATGAACCATTTTTCATTATATTTACCTGCATACCTAGGAAATAATCTAAGTTTCCTTTTTTAACCTCAAACTCTTTCTCCAAGTTCGTTAAAAGTTTCTCTATTATCTCTTCATTATCTGCCGCGATTAAACCATCGTCAACAAATATTGCAAGAATAATTTGGCTGTTATCAGCTTTGAATACACATGCATCCGCTTCGGTACATTGTAAACCAAATGCATTCAAAAAGTTCTTAAAGCGTATATTCCAACATCTTGGACTTTGTTTTAAGCCATATAAACTACGCTGAAGCTTACATACTTTATTCGATCCATCTTCGTATCCTGGTGGTTGTACCATGTAAATTTCTTCCTGTAGTTCTCCGTACAGAAATGCTGTCTTGATGTCGAATTGTCGTAGTATTAATTTTTCCACAGCTGCTACTGCGAATATCGCCCTAATTGATTCGTATCTGACCACTGGCGAAAATGTTTCATGGTAATCTATACCGTATTTCTGTGAACAACCTTTAATGACCAATCTGGCCTTAAACTTATCGACATTACCGTCACTTTTATATTTGGTTTTGAACACCCATGCGTTACGTAACGCAACCTTGCCCTGAGGCAAATTAACTAGTGACCAAGTGTTGTTTTTGTGTAGTGACGTAATTTCATCACTCATAGCGTGCTCCCACTCGTTTTTCTGTGGGCCAGCGATCGCTTCATCACGATTTAGTGGTTCAAGATTGGCGACGAACGACGACACATTATACCTGATCGGCGCTTTTAATGTATTCCGATCACGTAGCACCATGCCACTCCTGTTGTCGACCGTCGTCAATTCGACCTTGACCGGATCGTCCTCGACTTGAGTCTGAGTATCTGTAAATTCTAATTTGTCTGCAATTACATTTTCTAATTTATTACCTTCGTTTTCGAATATAATATCTCTAGACATTGATATTTTATTTGTTTTCGAATAATACACACGATACCCTTTCGTGTTATCCGAATAGCCAACAAATATTCCTTTTTCACTTTTAGGGTCCCACTTTTTACGTTTTTGCTTTGGTATGTGTGTATATACGACAGTACCAAAAACTCGTAAGTGTTTAATGTCTGGCATTACCTTATAATATAACTCGTATGGTGAGTTATTTTTAACTGAACTGGTTCCTGTTCAATTAAGCGTGTAAACAGCCGTGTTTACCGCCTCCGCCCAAAGTGATACATCCAAATTTTTCGCACAAATCATTGTCCTCGCTGACTCTACTATTGTACGATTTTCCCGTTCCACTTTTCCATTTTGCTGTGGTGTGTAGGGAACTGTTAACTGATGTCGAATCCCGTGTTTTTGTAAAATACCCGTAATTTCTTTATTTACGAATTCTAATCCATTATCCGTTCGTAATATTTTGACCTTAGAACCTGTTTCTGTTTCAACACTTTTTATGAACGTCTCAAAAATATTTTTAACATCATATTTATTTTTAATAAAATATACCGTTCTATAATGCGAGTAGTCGTCTTTGAATAACAAAAAGTATTTTGAACCGCCTATAGAGCTTACCTCCATTGGTCCACATAGGTCTGCATGGATTAAATCACCGACATTGTGATACTCCGTATTACTTTTACTAAATGATTTACGACTTTGTTTACCTATTATACAACTGCTGCACATGAATTCGTCGTCCTTGGCCGAACATACTATTTCGTGTTTCGCCAAACAACTTTTTACGTACTGTAAATTCTGATGTGCCATGCGCTCGTGCCAAACAGACAACCTGTTTTCGACAGCTACCGTCGCGTACCCGTTTGTCGGTACTTCGACCTTGATGTTTAACTCAAACAACCTTCCGCATCTCTTACCTGAGCATACGGTTTTCCCCTGTTTAGTTAACATACACGTCTTACTATCTGACGTCAATACTAAACCTTTATCCATCGCGGCTCCGCACGAAAATAAATTAAATTTTAGTCCTGGCACGTGCAACACATTTGCCATGTAATTTTTATTCCAATTACCGTTTACGTATGATAATATATTAATATTACCTCTACCTGCTGCATACAGATTCGTCCCATCACCTATCGTGATTTGTTGCGTGTTGTCCAGTGGTTCATAACTTGAAAACCACTCTCGATTTGCGCTCATATGATCCGACGCGCCCGAGTCTAGTACCCACGCATCTGTTGCAATATTATTTATACTTGACTCGCTTACGAATGCGTTCAAGTTCGCACCTATCGTACCGGTTTTACCACCGTGTACACTTTGTAGAAAATTTCTACAGTCTCTTTTATAATGACCTAGTTTACCACAGTAATAACACTTAATATTACTTTTATTCGTAAATTGATTTTTACCTTTTCCATAATTACGACTGCCGTTTCTTCCATCAGATCTGTTTTGAAATTTGGCCGGAAATGCACTCGATTTCTCTTGTTCACCAACTTCACCTTTGATCTGGATAACCCGTGATTCTTCAATCAACAATCGACTAGTCAAATTATTTATATTTTTACTTCCCGTCGGGACTGAATCCCAAGCACTGTAAAAATGATTATATTCTTTTGGGAGTGTCATTAGTATTTTTGTCATAACCATGTTATCCGTAACTGGTTCACCCGCTACTCTCAGTTTCCTTCCTAAATTGACCAATTTAGAAATATGCGTCGACATGTCATCTGTCGACTCCTTTGAATAACTGAAAAATTGTTGTTGAAGCAAATGTATACTTGCCTCAGACTTCTGCTCGTAAATACTCAGCAGTTTCTCCCACATTTCCAATGCAGTCTCACAGTTAATCAAATATTGTAATGGACCATCGTCCACTGAGGTAACTATTATTTTCTGACATTTACCGTCCGCTTTTATCCAAGCGCTAGTATGCCTTTGCCAACGTGCTTTGGCTTCCTCGTCGGTCTCTCCAGCCGACTTTTTTATAGGTAGACTTGGTTTCGTCCATTCACCTGAAACTATCTCACCTACTTCCAAGGCATTTAAAATGACCTTCATCTGGAACTTCCATAACGACCAGTTTTCCGCACATAATTTTGTTATCTTCACCGTGTCTTCCATGACCGATGGATTCCCGTATACTTTCCTGTATAACAATTTATAACAAAACTTTACCTATGTACACTGTTCCGCCGTTTTCCGAAATCCAGGATATCTCCGACTGGTTGTAGTTTTCTGCGTTAATACAAATATAAAAATACTTCGATCACGAATCCACTAGACTGTTTGTCTTGGTTATTGACTGGGCCCATAACCTGTTGAAAGTGAAGCTTGACGGACTAATGATGTTAGCATTAATATAATAAGTAATAACACGACAATATGGTTATGTATAAGTATAATATATAATAACGTACAACTGGACAATTAAACTGTGACAGTACACACACATCGTATACGCTCTGTACAACGACGCCTGTGCAAGTCCGTATTACATACATCAAAGGCCCTATATATATGCACGACCGAGGTCATGTTACATCCGTAAAGAGAGTGAGTCTTATGCTCGTACATAACTAGTTACTATATTGAACACACGTGTCAAGGCTGACTACATATACTACATATTAATTGTATATTTCAACAACTTTAAAACAAATGACCGTAGATATATGAAATTTTCACTGGTTATTTATCAATAAAAAAATCTCTACCGGACAGTCAAGTTAAATTTTTATGAGCGTTTGAAATTCAAATTTTTACAACATTGGATATTCACTCGATTACCCATGTAGCGATTTCCTATGTTTATATTTATTATCATGTAGCATTTTGACTCTTTTTGAGCTGTTTATGGACATTTACAGCTTTCAATTTTTTTAGTTTTTTTTTTCTATAAATATCAATAAAGTTTTATCTGTTGGGCCAAAAAGTGTAAAAATTTAATACAAGGCTCCTGATATATTGTTACAATAGCAGTTGAAAAATATTAAAAATACATAGGTACAGTTATTTTTTATAAGCATTTAAAGATCAAATTTTGACAAAATTTATCAAAATCTCGAAAATTATCAATCATTGTAATTAATAAATTATAAAATGTTCAGTTTTTATAGCTAAGGATTACAAATTCAACACAAAGGTTCTCATAAATAGTTCATACTATAACCAAAAAATCTAAAAAATATATGAACACACTTATTTTTTACAGACATTTTAAATTCAAATTTGGACGAAATTACATATTAAAAAACCTAGAATAACTATTTTAGTTATTTTGTTGTGATTGAATAATATTATTCGTGGGTACTTGAAACTTCTAAAGTGTACTATTATATTTCTATGATAGTATCACGGTTTTTGTTGATGTATAACGCGTTATAAGTATCTAATGGATATTGTGATATGATTAATTTGGAATTTATTATAGGTAGGTACCTATTATAGGTCAATTGTTTGTTTAATACCATAGATATGTATATAATATGTCTTATACATAGACTGACATACCGTCACCGCTCAGAATCGTTTTTCTTATACAATGATATTATATCATTGAATTCAAATTTAATACCATCCATTATACAGTGACCCACTTGTAACCTACTGTACAGCAGAATGACACCCACTTGCCCACCTTATTTTGATTTAAACTTCTCCAAAAGTTGAAATATGTAAATTTTTTAATTACTATTTTTAATATATCCTTTTTATGATTTTGGTGGGACAATATCAAAAATGTGGGAAAGTCGATCTCAAGTAGACTTGAAGACAAATTCAAATCTGTTTTCAGAATTCGTATCGCTTCATTAGATTAATCGGTACGTTGGAAATAGAACACGTCTATAATCCTATGTTGCACGTGTGTTAGATAAAGAAAGAAAATCGCTGCTTCCAATCCCCTTAATCGGTTATCACTTTCTTATCGTAACGCACGTCTGCGCCGCCTATAATATGCGGCAATCACTCCGACGAAGATTAGGAACTCAGCTACATACTTGGTGTTACGCACATGTTTTAAATTTGGTCATGATGGACATAGCAGAAAAAAATCATTATTCAATTACTTTATTTGGACTTTTAAACTCGTGTGCCGTTTTTTTTCGAGAATCCCACACACGTATGAATATTTTAAAAGATTTACTCTCAGAATCTCGTATAAAACAATATCTGTAATAACTAATAGCTCAAACTAGATGGTGGTCTAAAGATAATGCTTTAAAAAAAATCTTTGGTACTTTTAACGACCCCAGTGAAAAAAATTCAATATTTTTGACTCTTTTAATTGCATTGTATAAAATGTCTCAATCAGATAAACTCAACTCTAAAATATCATACAACGCAAGGACGCTTCTTGATAATTTTACAAAATTTGAAACAATTGTCACAGCTAATATGTATCTTAAAATTTTTGTTCATACTTCTGCACTATCTAAATATTTACAAACTCAGAATATGGATGTTCTTCAAGCGCATCGTATGGTAGAAACTACTTTAGAAAGTTTAAAGCAATTTTCAAGAAGTTCCCTTATAGTTTATGAAGCAGTAAAAAAGTTTTCAAATTGGGCTAATAATTATTTCGATCATGAAAATATTGAAATAACGGTTCAAGATAATTTTCCGGAAATAAAAATACGTAAAAGTAAAATAATGGCTGGAGATTCTGATAAAGAATATATACCACCTAGTGCTTATCAAAATTTTGTTGTCGATGTGTATAATGTTACATTTGATACACTAATCAGTAGTATGGAAATAAGATATTTTAGCAATAGTAAATTTCCTGCCGATTGTGCTTTTTTACAACCTAGCAGATTCAATGAAAAAATTCCCGAAGAAGCATTTACAAAATTAGTTGAGCATTTAGTAAATCGCGACGAGAGTATAACAAAAGCTAACTTGTTATATTATGAACTACAAGACTTTTATTCAAAATGGGACCGTTTAAAATTAACACTTGACGAAGAGTACGGATTTGATAATTTTATTGACGAGGAACAGCAATTAGAACTAAAAGAAAGCATTAACAATTCTAATTTAGAAATTGAAAAAAAATCGTCAATATTATGTAATAAAATTAAAGCGTGTCGAAATTGTATTTTGTGTTGCTATATAGTACTACTGAAATATAATCTGTACAGCGATCTTACAAGACACTATTTTTTGCATACAAATTCATTCTATCACTGTCGTCAATACAAGTAGCTTGTGAAAGTATGTTTTCAAAATTGAAATATATTCTCAATAGAATAAAAAAATCATTGAGCCATGATCATTTAGAATCATTTATGCTTATGTCAGCTGAATCTGATATTTTGATGGCGTTGGATAATGAAATCATTATCGACACACTTTCGCAAAAGAGCTCAAACCTAAACAAATTGCTTAATATGTATAATTAATATTTAATGTGTAGTTATTCTAGAGTCTAAATATAATATGTATTTTAAATAAAAATGATAACATTTCTTTGTACTATCTAATTTTTAATTTTTTTTAATTTTTAATAATAATATTAAGTGTTTAAATTCTCAAAATAATATACAATCATTTTATATGGAAAAATATGTTTTTAAGGTTGTTTTTATAGGTTTAGGTACCTAAGTGGGCCGATTTTTTTTATTCTCCCGGTAGAAATTGTTGACCCAGTCCGGCCCTGATGTAATATGGTAAACGGTAATTTTGTACAGTACCTACTTCAGTCTGTTGTTTAAAATCTATAACGCGGACACTTTGTACGGTCATTTAAAAATATACATTACAGAACCGTTCTGTCAGAACGCTTTGTTATTTGTACTATTTTATACATTTTTATTTTTATTTTTTATTATTTATACACAATATATACCAGCGCATGAACCAGCAGGCAGAATAAGAGTATTAGCTATATAAAAAGAAAACATGAACAATTTTAATGAATAAGCCACCAATTGAGATGACACTTTTGGATTTTATTTTCAATTATATTCCGACATAAGAAATATATTATAAATATAAATAATACCTAAGTAGTAAACATATTATATAATGTTAAACTTAAAAAGCCGGCCAAGTGAGAGTCGGACTCGAGCACGAAGGGTTCCGTACCATTATCTAAAATTATGTCTGTTGTCATTTGCGGGGTGGGAAAAAAATTTTGTAACTTAAAACGATTCACTATAATTCTGTATTGAAATTTATAAAACGAATCTTTGTATACGACGTCACTCGTGGTAACTATTTATAAACAAAAATTTCCATCTGAAATCTCGAAATTTCCGTTTTAGCACCCCCCGGGGTTGCTCCTATCATTTTTCTTAGTATTTGTTGTTATAGCATCCACGGAAATACTTAATCTGTGAAAATTTCAACTTTCTAACTTTCATGGTTCATGAGATACACTGCAGTCTGGCGACAGACGGACGGATGGACAGCCGAGTGAAAGTAATAGGCTTCCGTAGGGAAACGTACGGAACCCTAAAAAATTGCAAATAATTTTAATTATGTTTCGGTTAGAAATTGATAAAAATGTTTAATTTTATAGTTAACATTAGACATTTTGATTCCCAACAAGTTTTTCTACCCTTATCGACAAAAAAAGTTCATCCAACAGTACCTATCGTTAATTTTTATGAGAGTTTGATTTTAAATTGTTTACGATATTTGATACTCAACCGTTTTTAATTATTAATTTTGATTATCGATACAATATGTATGATGATAGGATGACACATCGTCTCCGCTCAAAATCATTTTATCATTGAATTCAAATCAAATACATTCATTACAATGATACAGGTACTCGACAACAACTACTGTACAGCATAGTGGTACCCACTCACCATTTTTTTTTTATGCTGGTTACATAAATGCAATAATTTATTATTGTCATCGGCTTTAAATGTTTGTCTCTTATAAAGTCTATTGCCACATTCGTCCAAAAACTAGAACTATGTGACGTCCAACGCAAATCGGGCACACGAAAGTGCATTAATTATTATGAGATAAAACATTACAGGTAGGTACATTATGAGCGCAACGTGCGATAGGACATTTTATCCCGCGGACCTCAGGTCTCCTCCACCCCTCGATGAGCCACTCATAATTATATTATAATATATTGTTTGAACATTATTGTGTAT